CCCGAAGGTCTGGGGCCCAGCCCCCGTGTGGCTGCCTCTTTTTGTGGAGCGACAACTGGATTCAACCTGGATTGATTTGTTCTCAAGCCTCCCTTCGAAAAGCTCTTCTCAAGTTTCCCTTCGCCGAACTATGATGAAGCATGCCCCAGAGGAACATCATCCACATCCAGGCTCCCATTCATCTAGTTTGAGACAGTTTGATGCATTAGAGGCAGAATTCTGGCTGCTTCTTTGATCAAGCCATTGCTTTTCTTTTCAATGCAAGAAAGTGTGTGTGTCTGCGAAAAAGTGGCTGAGCACATCTATAAAGATCTTTGTGATTTCTACAAAAGGGAAACAAGATCTTGGACTTGTGGCAGCAGCGGAATCTAGACTGTGGCAGCTTTTCTGCTCCAATTTCCATCTTGTATTCGAGGCCTCCGAGCAAGTGCACTGACAGTTTTCTTTTGTTTTGACGGAGAAGTGGGACTGTCGTGCTTCCAACTGCTGGAAGTCTCGATCGCATTCATGCGCAGCTCAATGCTTGCAATGCAACGCCAAAAGCACTGCAAGCATCTCTTTTGGGCTGTTTGGCTTGTCTCCTTTCTCTTCAGCCAGTTTGTCAGTCGACATTGCATGCTGTGTGACGGATTTTCTTCAGAGCTCTGTCCGCACTTTAACGGAAAGTGGTCCCCATTTCGCTTGGGTTCCTGACAAGCAATAAAAGCCATGCAAGTCCGAACATGAAATCTCGACGTTCCAGGTTTGTTGATGAAGAATGTATCGTACACATATACAGTACAGAAGCGAACATCAAGTTCAAAGTGAAGAGGTTTTTTTCTACAATTTCCGAATTTGTTCCACAAGATGGACGGCTTTTTCCAGGCGGCTTTTTCCACCGTTTTCCGCAATTTGTCCACAATTGGTTTTCCACAAGACTTGTTGCATCTTTTCCACAACACCAGTCGGTTTTTCCGGCCGCCCCAGAAATCCCGCATCCTTTCCATTTTTCACAAATTTTGGGTCCAACTTGTGGGAAAAACGCTCTGGAAAACCGCTGTTTTCGCAGTCGGAATTGTCTGGAAAGCATGCTTTTCGTCAACCCAAACCTTGTGGAAAAACATGTTCTTTGTTGAAACAAAACCTTGAGGACAAACATTTTGTTCTTGACAAGAAGCATGAGTGATTATATCACGTTTACATAACCAATAGCCGTAAAGAATAGATGATGAACGCCCGGCCCCAGTCTTACTGTTAAACTGCTGTTCGGTAGACACGACATGGGTCCCAAAAGCCACACGGTGGAGCTCCCCGTATGAGCAGATCGTTCGTTCGAGACACAATGACTGCTGCTGGCAACAACGCTTCGATTGAGGCCATTCCTCGGACATCCGTTTTCTTTTTGGAAACATCAGCGATCCATCGTCATGCAGGAGTCAGCCGGCTCGTCTGATGTGTCGGGCATAAAAAATCGTGACTTTGTATCTTCTGGAGTTTGTTTGGTATAGAGCTGTTTTGCGGCAAGCAGTTGTTGTTCACCTGGTCCGCTTGCAGCTTTCAGTATAGTATAGATATCTTGCGCGGTCAGTTGCCATCAACTGGCTTCTGTGGAGATGCCTTGGGACTCGGCTCGATCAAACAGACAAAACCGTGCGTGACGCCTTCTTGCAAGTTGCGAGTGATGCGATGTGGGGAACGCAGGCAACGCCTGTCATTTGCCTCTAGGTATTGTTGTTTTTGATTTCGGTGCTTCGACAGGATAGAACGGTTTGACGACCAATCATGGGCTGTCAACCGTACGTCAGTAGGCTCGTAATCATGAATCAAAGCACAGCCCTTGGAGGTGTGTCATCCTGCATGCTGTGTCTTAGCCTGCACCAGCTGTGAAAAAGTTTGTGATGAAGTCGTGTGCGGCTTAACAGCGGTAGATCTGAGGGTGCAATGGCTCCGTTCAATGCTCGCGGTCGTACTCGGCTGGTGGGGTACGGTCTTTGCTTGGCTGCCACCTTGCTGATTCACTCCCTCAGCTTTGTGCCAGCTCCGGGTTCGACGGCTCCGCCCCCTTCGCCTCGTGGATCACACCAGGTTGCCGGGCTCGCAGCTGCATCATTGATGACCATGCCAACCGAAGCATGGGCTAAAGGAGGTCAATGGGGTCCTTTGGAAGGGAAGCTGTCCAGCTTGGTCCACCCAGTCATCATGGCCTCGTTGTTCTTTGCGACGCTGTATGCTGGCTTCCTTGGATGGCAATGGCGTCAAACCCGCGAGATGGGTGTTGAGCTCAGCGGCTTGCGGAAGCAACTGCCAAAGGAGGAGACTGAAGAAGAGTCGTCGGCCGTGAAGGCCTTGAAAGCACAGATCAGCAAGTTGGACTCCGAGCGGAAGGAGATGGTCAAGGCTGGTTACAAAGATCAGCACTACACGGTGAGCTCCATTCTTCTTGGCGGTGGCGTGTTCTTCACATGCTACGGGGTGTTCAACACATGGTTCCGGGCAGAGAAGCTTTTCCCGGGACCACACTTGTTTGCTGGCGCTGCAATCGTTGTCCTGTGGGCACTGGCAGCAGCTTTGGTGCCTTACATGGAGAAGGGCAACGACAGTGCTCGCAATGCGCACATTGCGCTTAACGGCGTCAACGTGCTACTTTTCGCGTGGCAGTTGCCAACTGGTTTCGAGATTGCACAGAAAGTGTGGGGACTCGCCATCCCATGGATCTGATAGAGTCCCGGGTCGCTGTCCGCAGAGGCTGCTTTAGCCTGTCATGACGCAACCTGTGAAATAATGAGGTATGATTGAGACGTGTACATATTTTTCAGCAACTGCTCAGCTGGGCTGCAGGGTCGGCTCAACAGTTTTCACTTTCGAGTGCAAGCTCCCATGCAATGGAGATCGCAATCCTCTTCGACGAGACGTGCGAACATGGTACAAAAGAGCGCTGCCGCATTTAAGTCAGAGTGACCCAGCAGACTATCCCCGATGCTGCACTGATGCACTGACGCGACGATCGTCAGCATGGCCCAATAGATACATCAAACGAGCAGCACGGTGATGTGCACACATTGTTGATTGTGGCCCAGTCCCAATGACAAGGACACAAGCATGTGTCAGTCTCAGCCCAATTATTAAGTATGCAGTTCCACATCTGAAATCATGTTGGTTGTAGCTGTTTGAGGCCAAAGCCTTAAGGGTTAGGAATGTGGTCACACATCCTTGTGCCCGGGCGCGATGGCGCACAGAGGGCAGTTTGCTCTAGGACGGCGTAAAGCCGCTTGCGTGTGCTCATCAGTATTGATTCTGATGCTTTCATTCTGAGCCAGGAGCAGGAGATGCGTGCAGTGCTCTGGGGCATCCTGCTTTTCGTGGAGCCCTCATTGCTTTTTGGCAAGAGGGATGGAAACGGTCGCATGGAATCCAACTCCTTTAAAGGTCTGTGGCAGCGGCGGCTTGGAGTTCTCTCTCATCCTCGACCAGGCTCGAGTGTTCTAGCAACTTGGGGGTTTTTGGAGTATGGCTGGTCTTGCGAGGATGCTCCCGGGCACAAGCAAAACGAGGAATCGCGGAACAATTGCGATTCTTGCCGATGTCACTGGCTTCGCAGCATTCCAGGCTGCTGTCCACGCATTGCAGAAGGGTGATGCTGAGAAGGCGCTGCAGACGCTGCACAAGGCATCCGTTTGACTTTCGCTGCATTGATTGCGGTAGCTGCCATGTGTCTGAGGTCTACATTTTGCGTGCGTTCGTCTATGGTATACTGCAGTCGCAGTAACGGGCACATGCCTTGTTCATGACGACCTCCTCCTTGCCGGCCTTGCCGTTTTGGTACCTTTGTTCCCTGATATTCAGGTTGCATTTTCCACCTTGGTGCAAGAGTGCGTGTACGAGCAGTCATATTCGCTCGATTTTGGGTTTTTTGATCAACAGCTGCTGTTGGCTTGGCGTCCACATATGTCCACTGTCTCTCGCACCATGTCGGTCCAGGTTGCCCATCTTGACCAATGCTTGGCGGTACCAGGGTCATATGCGGGAGCAGAGTGCCCCAAGTAGCTGAATGCGGAATAGAACAGAAATGGCAGAGAGCCCTCCACAATGGTCTTCCTCAGGGGCCACAAGTGAAGAACAGCAGCTGCATTCAGTCCAGGCGTTGAAGCGCCACAGCAACGCAGCCTTGCAGAATTCGGCCGCTTGGCTTTGCTGCATTTGCATCCGCCGTGGCCCCTCTTTGTCAGCCCCTGTGCAGGTCGGTGTTGCGTTAATGCACCAGCCTGAGCCGCAATGACAATGCATATTGAATTGGTTGATCGCTGTTCGAGGTACTTGGCGAAATCTCGTCAGACGTTTTCGAAGGTCATGCTCTTTGAGCGAATCTTCTTTGCCCATTGGTGCCAGTCGATGCAAGGACAAGCTGCAAGAAGCAGCTCTTCACGCTTTCAACCAAACTGTACTGCTTGCTGGCGGTAGCTTAGGCCGGAAGGAATTCTCCGACTATTGCCATGGGGCTCCCGTTGCTCTTGAGCAAAGCCTGGCAGGCGGCAAAGGCAATGGCGGCAAAGGGAGGCTGCCCGGGGCATTGCTTGGTTTTGTGCTGCAGTGAGAGCCTCAAGTTTGTGTTGTGTCCGGCTTTCCAGTGCAGGAAGATGCAAGCTGCAAAGGGCAGCGATTTGGAGGCGAGTCCGCATTGGTGTCAACGTAAAACTGGACTTGATCTTATTCCGGTTGTGTAGCTGCATGCTGGTGGGGACTGTTGCGTACCTTGACCAGTACGCAGCTGCTCCAACTCCTACTGCTCCGACGCCTGCTCCACTCCTACTCCGCCACTCCTACTACTCCTACTACTCCCATTACTACTAGTACTCCTCCTGCTGCTACGCTACTACTACAACATACCACAACCACCACTACTACTACTACTACTACTACTCCTCCTCCTGCTCCTGCTGCTGCTGCTGCTGCTGCTGCTGCTGCCTTATTCTCATTCTTGTTATCAGTGTTTGCATGTTTACGACGAGGACTACTGTTGCTTCTGCCCTGCTGCAACGATGGGCTTCTCTGGGAGGTAGCACTGGCCAATCAGGCGCTGGCATCAAGGCCCTTCCAACTACAACCCCGTGCAGCATCGCGCCGCCCACACGCGCAGGTACCTCGAGGCCAGCCGCCTCAATCGCCTCGGCATTCAGCTGGACTTGCAGAATCGCTGGGAAGAGGTCCATGCCTCAAGCGGAGTATGCGGAGTGGCTTTGCGATTTCGGGAATCAGCGGACTGTTACTGCTTCAGACAAGCGTACCGGTATGCGCTTGTGTGCCGAGCTTTCTCTCAAGAAATAGCACGACTCCACGGATATGCACCGAAAAACCACGAAGAAAAGAGTGGCATTTGGATCAACCGCGCACGACTACGACTGACATTCTGACAGACCAGAACTGAGACCATCAAATGTAATATGTACTTTGGCAATGTGGAACTAATGCGCAAGATGTATCACATACTAAAATTCAGCTCAGGTGCATTAGATTAGAGTATATGTGTATTAGATTAGAGTATATGATCTTATATTCATACATTGTATCAGCATCAAAATACTATATACTACAGCATTACACATTACAAGATACATGGCAGCTCGTGACCCAAGGCGGCAGTAGTTCTTCGAGAGGCACAGAAGGCCACCGCCTTTGGGCTCAGGTCCCCTGCCTCCTAGTGGTTTGGGGGTTTAGGGTTTAGGGTTTAGGGTTTAGGGTTTAGGGGTTTTCGGGATTTAGGTTTTAGGGTTAAGAGCTAAAGGGTTTATGCTTCAGGGTTTTGGGTTTAGGAGTTTAGGGTTCAGGGGCTTATGGTCTAGGGCAGGATTACGGGTGTAGGATTTAGCAATTTAGGACCCAGCGGTTTAACATTTTCTTCTCTTGCTTGCTATTGCGGTGTCGGTGCATCGCTATGGCTCTGTTCCGCTGATGAGAGGAATCATGCTGATACTATTGATTGTGCTGAGTGCGTGCGTTGCAATGTTACACTGCCACTGCTGCTGCTGCTGCTGCTGCTGCTGCTGCTGCTGCTGCTACTGCTGCGACTCCGATGCTGATGTCGGCGCGTCGGCGACTAAAACTGTTGCAACATGGCGGTAGGGCAGCTTTGCGTGTGCGTCCAGGCAGCGCCTGGCTACGATCCCTTGATCACGAGCAACCTGGGCACTGCCGGCAGCTCAGGAGAGCCCCAAGCGGGGCACATGCACCGTGTTTCCCGAACCTGAGAACTACATCTTGAGGTGATCTACAAGAATGCGACGCACAGATCCTCCGGCTGGGCAGAGGTGCCCATGCTTCATGGAAGGGAGGTGAGCCACCCTAGACTCTGTATCTGTGCCACAAAAACCCTCAAACCTCAGAAGAGAGAGTGCTCAATAAGAGGCAGATAATAGCGACCTCACAGAGAGGGAGAGGAGAGAGGAGAGGCAGGCGGCGCCCCTCTACGAGCGCGCCCGGGAGCTGGTGGAGCGAGCACACCTAGACCTGCCAGGCACCGGGAAAAACTCTGAAACAGTAGGACACTCTGAGGGTGAACTGATGTGCAATGTCCTGTGTGTGTGTAGAACTCTCAAGGTCTTCGTCTTTGAGAAACAAAAGGTTGTGACTTTCGAGGTCTCATTTCAGCCTCTGAGGGGAGCTTGGGTGATCTCGTGGATGTCGAAGGCAACCCGGCGGTGATGAAGAGCTTGAAGGAGGCAAGTCCCGGCTGGTATGAATGATGCCTCTCTGTTGTGCAGCATGTACTAGGTGCAGCGGTTACAATCCTCCCTGGACGCTTGGCGGGAGAATGCCGGTCTGCGAGAGTTGTCGGGTCCCCAACTGAATCGACGCTCTGCTCTCGCCGGCCTCATTTTGCACGAGGCCAGTTCCAAAAGAACTGCTGGAGGCTGCGGCTGTGCGTGGGACACTGGTCGCAAGCTGAGTGCGGCTTTGCCGGGTTGGGGCTGAAGTTTCGAGACTCGAAAGAGGGCCGTAGCTGATGGTGTATGTGGATTCGACTTGAAGGCTCGGCGAGAGTTTCCCGAGAAGTACTTAACAGCTTGCGCTGGGACCGCATCTGGAAGCTTTTGCCCCTCGTGGAGCAAACGAAAGGTCGTGCATGTTTACGAAGCAAGAAGGGGAGCTTTCTCATCTCGGCGTCCACTTCCGATGAGCCACGCTTGCGATTCACGCTTCACGTTTCTGTCGATGCGTTGATCCATTCATTGAGGTCTCGACGCAGGTCACTAGATCAAAAGCGAGGGTTCGTGACCTTGGTAACAGCAGTTGCAAGTACTCCAGAGGGGGTTTCAGAAAATAGGGACCCTAATATAGTACCCTAAATAGTAGGATCCTTATTATAGGGACCCCAAGATAATAATATAGTACCCTAAATAGTAGGATCCTTATTATAAGGACCCCAAGATAAGGTACCCCTTATTTTCGGAAAACTCCCCAGAAGTACCAGACCCTCTCGCCTCAGAGGTGTGCACCTGGTCGGGGGGCGGCAGCAAGTTCTCGAAGATGGCGGGGTCCTTGGGGTTTAGGGTTTAGGGTTTAGGGTATAGGACCTTATGACCTTACCTGCAGAGCTCCTACACCTGCTGTTCATGGCGTGTCTTGAGGGCTCACATGCTTGAGTCTCGGGCATCGGTACAGATGGATTATCTCTTGCATGTGCTTGCCTTTGTGTTGGCTCTATATTTGGGTAGTTGGCTTCCCCTGTCCTTCTTTTTGTATACATGTGCCACAGATCTTTATGCGCAAAATGTATGCATTTAAGCCTTTCCAAACCCCGACCCACAACCGACAGATGATCCTGGGTCAAGCATGTGTACTAACACATAAATCACCGCCGTAGACCTGCAGATCTTCTAGTCACAAAAAGGGTTCCAACTCCGCTTTTCCCTGAATCGCTTTCATACAACTCTTGGTACGGAATCCTGCGCACAGCAGGATCAGGATTCAGCTTTGCATGCCACCACGGAAGGACTCCAAACAGCCGAATGTCAAAGGGTGGAGAGGCCGTCTTCAGTCCCTGGCAGGCCTTGAATCTTCGGGCATCGATCCGGCTGAATGCTCCACATTGGGCGCCCTGGTAAGACATGGACATGGTCCTTACACCATGTGTTTTGAAGCGTCCATCCTAGCCAGAAACGGAGCGAAAGGAGCGGGCGTTCGTCGTGCTTTCGCTGGATAACGAGCCGGGAGCCAAGCATTGCCATGCCAATGAAACGGAGGGGCTGAGACTGGAAATGCCTGCGCTGGTGCTCAGAACATTGGCTTTTTTGCAGAGCCAGGGCATCACCTCCTGGCTTTATGCTCCTCGGCGGATCCTCTGCAGTTGAGTTCACGTCTTAAGTCTTGCAGCGTGCCCAGGAGACCCTGGACATCTACATGACCCGCTGGTCGGGCACCGAGTGGGTGAGGCCTGGAGACGTATCGCCCAACCCCTGCGCTTGAACTAGAAACAGCAATGAGGCCATGGCCCTTAAACGTTCAACCCAGTTGGACCCAGGGTTTGTGCCATTATCATTGCTATCGCTGCTTTCGCACCGTTTCGGGTTTAGGGGACCTCCCCAGTCCCAAGGCGACTGCTTGCTGGCCTCCTGGCGGAAGGCTTCAACGTGCTGTTGATGGACACGGCCCGAGTCCTGGGGGTTTTTGAGCTGTTCTTTTTCGGGTCTAGGGGCTCTTCTGAGGGCGCAGGATTGCGGATTTCGGGTTTTGGCTGTGGCCTTTTTCACTCTCCGACGGTTTCAGGGGTCCGTCTGCGAAGGCAAGACCCCTGAATGGCAGGATGTGGTGTTTCTCGGAGATCCCTTCCAGCACTTCTTCTTCGACGCTGACTTGGAGGCCGGCCTTCCGAAACCGGAGCTTCCGGAATCCCGAAGCCGTCCACTTGCCCTAAAGTTTAGGGTTTAGGGTTTAGGGACCCTTCAGAACCCTAGGCCCTGGACCCGAAAATCTAAATAAAGCCGGATTCTTGAAGCGCGTGCGAAAGTGGCCGAGGTCATGACGGACCATCTCTTCCCCGAAAGAGACCTCTGGGACGAGAAGTGGCGAGACGAGGACGGCTAAAGCTTCACAGTCGCCTACTTGATTTTCATGAGCACGGCCTGGGCCACCTAGCAATCAATTCAAGACTTAGTCGAAGGTCCCATACGGATATTCCTTCCCAGACAAGAAAGTTCAAAGCATAGATTGATAAGTGAACATTCTTTGGCATGCCGTCTTATCATTCTGTATCTGCGAGGCAAGAGATCTTCTTGTTAAGGGCTCAGACGGCCTGTGCATGCGCGCTGGGTGCACCCCCGAGCACGTCGGTACTCATCGGTATTTGCAGTGTTTCGCGGGCTTCGCATGCCGTAAACCTCGCGCCTGTCACCGTTTTCGGGGAGGAGGCAGGGTGGGGGATGAGCTGACGACGTTCATGTATCTTGCACTGTGATCGGGTTCATTCTGTTTTCGTCGTTTGCGTTCTTTGGCTGGCTTCTTAGGGGAGGGAGGCGGTTGGCGAGCTGTTACCTTCGGATGCTTGCCCAGACACATCTGGAGGCCTGAATGCCATGAACGTGGCCTAATAGGGCATGCATGTTAAATTCATGTGCGATACATTCATACTATATACAGGTGTCATCCATCATATAAGCTGGCATCTCCATCAGCCTACGTTGCCATTGATACTTCTTTCGGGTCCATTAGGGGTGAGGGGGTCGGGGGTGGGGGGGGGGTATGATGCGGTCGCGATCGCATGCACAACGCTAATACTCCCGGTCCACTCTTGCGACTACGGGGCTTTTGATGCTGCGGCTTCGAGTCCAGGTCCACTTCTGCTGCTCTCGCTGCCACTACTACTGAAAACCCAGTGTCACAGGAACACATCAACACGGGCTTCATGTTCGCGCGAAGCTCGAAGCCTTCGCTGCAGCTTGCCGGAAGCTTGGCATGCGCAGGCAGATACTGCGACGCCTCACTTCAAAAAGCCCATCCTGGAGTGGGCTTTTCTTGGAGGTCCGTGGCTTCATCGAGGCCCACCACTCGCCATGGGACTCCGAGGCAGGAGACTCTGAGGAAGGCAAAATCTGCCATGGCCCTCTGCCAGGGGCCATCTCGGGGAGGAGGCTTTGACCTCTTTGACCAGCGCATCTTTGCACGCTTTGTCCGGAAGCAGATCCAGGCACTTTTTCTGGGCTCTTGGCTGCTGCGAAGAGTTTGCTCTGGCCTGGAAGGCAGGACGATGCTATTCGCTCTTGGAGAACATCACCTACGGAACGAGGCTTCTCGGCCGAAAATCCCTCTGCAGCCCCAGCCCCGCCGTCGTTCTTTCTTTTGCTTAAAGACCAGGTTCATCAAACCGAGTGTGAAACTGGAACAGAAGCTGTCAACTCCAACCACGCCTCGCGCTGCAGGCTGTTGGCATCGTCACCGAACCCCTCGGTTCGGATTCACAGCCCAGAAGTCATCGCGCACGGCGCCAGCTTCTTCTGGTTGCGCTCCCACCGTGCCAGAGGCTTGCAAGTACCACCAGTGGCACATGCGAACTTCGGCAGAAACAAGCTTTACTTCATGCGGGATCGACGGGTGTGGTTCGTCGAGAATCTCACTGAACGCTTCTCCGAACCCGTGCACAAGGACGAATACTTTCCAGCAGCAGTGTTGCCTGCAGAGCTTTTCCGCGGTGAGTCGAACCCCTTCATCGGCGGATCGAGCAGCCGCCCCCGCTTCTTCAGGTACTCCCAAACCGGAGCCACGACTTCCTCGTGTTCTGCGCATGGGGTGGGGTTTGGCTTGGCGTGCCAGTTCCTGGAATTGACCGCGGCTCTGGAGGTGGCGGTGGCACTCGGTCGGCGACTAATTCTGCCAAGCGCTTTCAACTGCACCTGGTCCCCGATGTGGAAGCCCTATGGTATGGTGAAGACCTTCCATGCTGAGAACGAGGACTGCACGTTCGACTTCTTTGCGGACGCAGAAGGCTTCATCAAGCGCTTCGGACATCTGCTTGTAGAAGCGAGCTTCGCGAGAACTGACAGCTACGCTCACCTCTCAAAGTCTGCGAGTCCAGTTTTGGAGCTTCTGGCGGAAGACGAATCCCTTCCCCTTGCAGACCTACGACACCGACTTGATGGAAGGGGTGACGTCCTGGAAGTTGGAAGCGATGTCTTGGAGCTGCGAGATCGCTTTCGTGCGAACTTCGGCACATCTCTGGGCCGCGCCCTCTTCCCTTGTCAGTGGATCGAATTTGAAGCCTGGTTCTATGCGCGTCGACCGGATCAACCAGCGGCTGTAGGTTCGAGGCACTGTGGCGTTCGAGGCTCTTCGACGTGTTTAGACAGGATTGAATGAAATTGTAGTTAGGACTCCTTTTCTCGTGAAGGTCGGGGGTCGAGATGGGTCGAGAACCAAGAGGGGGATGTGCCTGTCTGGTCTTGCCTCAGGTTTGGACTGCTGCGCCGTTTATCATGGATGGGCAGAGAAGTCGGTGACTAAGTCTCCAAGTGGGGCTGACGGGTTTCGGTGCATGCAGTCACTTTTCTTCATGTGAAGCTGTTACATAAACTGGAGGGGTAGTGTTGGGGTGGCTTTCCAGATACCTGCCGAGAGCCACAGCTGCCCCGCATGGTTATCTGGCTGTCTATCGAGTATCGAGCTATCTGCAGTGCCTTCCGTCAGTGCGCTCAGCGACAGCGCCGCAGTCAATCAAGCTGCGTGTCTACCTGGCGTCCCTTTGCCTCTGCGCTCTCTAGTTACCTGCTGTGCAGTGTGGCACTGCGGGCTCAGTAAGGGTGCTACACACACATGGCACGGCTTTACCTAGCTGTCGCATGGTGTACGATGCCTCAGTTTCAAGCAATGTGTGACACACATAGACACACAGATAAGACCTCTGCGCTCTCTCGTTGCCGACTGTGCGGTGCAGCACCGCGGGCTCAGTAGGGGCGCTACGCGCACGGCACGGCTTGGCTCAGTTTCAAGCAAAGTGGGCCATTTGAATTTGACTCTGCACTCTCCAGTTACCTGCCGTGCAGTGAAGCACTGCGGGCTCAGTAAGGGTGCTACACACACGGCACGGCTTTACCTGGCTGTCGCATGGTGTACGATGCCTCAGTTTCAAGCGATGTGTGACACACATTGACACACAGTCAAGACCTCTGCGCTCTCTCGTTACCGACTGTGCGGTGCAGCACCGCGGGCTCAGTAGGGGCGCTACACGCGCGGCACGGCTTGGCTCAGTTTCAAGCAAAGTGGGCCATTTGAATTTGACTCTGCACTCTCTAGTTACCCGCCGTGCAGTGAAGCACTGCGGGCTCAGTAAGGGTGCTACACACACGGCACGGCTTTACCTGGCTGTCGCATTATTCACGGTGCCTCAGTTTCAAGCACAGTGTGACACGCAGATTTGACCTCTGCACTCTCTACCGTAGTTATCTGCTGTGCGGTGCGGCACTGTGGGCTCAGAACGGGCGCTACAGGCACGGCACGGCTTTGTGTGGCTCAGTTTCAAGCAAAACGTGACACGTAAATTTGATCTGCGCTCTCTAGTTACCTGCCGTGCGGTGCAGCACTGCGGGCTCAGTAAGGGCGCTACACAGATGGCACGGCTTTACCTGGCTGTCGCATGGTGTACGATGCCTCAGTTTCAAGCAAAGTGTGACAGGAAAATTTGACCTTCGCGTTTCCAAAGGGTTGCTGCATGGTGCGGGCATTGCGGGCTCAGGGTGCGAGCTTGCCTTGAGTCTGCAGGCACCTTGTGCAGAAAGAGATACTTCCAGTGTCCTCTTGTCGAGGTTGGAGTACTTCACCGGCGTTGCCTGGGATTTGCCATGCGACTGTGGAGCCGAGCCCTTACTGGCTTACTGGCTTTGCAGTTGGAGGCTGTGCCCGGAGCTGCCACCCTCACTACCACGATCTGCGCGGCAAGTAGAAAAGCAGGTCGTGCCCGGTGATCTACGCCCTTGATTCGCAGTCGGCATGGCAGCTTGTTGAGCTTAAGTTGAGGTTGGTGCTGCCCTCGGCTGCTTCTCTCGCAGTGGTGGCGAGTGTGCGCAGGAGGACACGATCCAGACTTCATTCCACACACGTTGACAGGTTCTTGATCGTTTGCTGTTTCACAGTCAGCTGTTGAGGATCAGAAGGATGCTGTGGACATCGGCTTCGCAGAGATGCCTTTCGTCGCAATTGCCCCTCAGAGTCCTACAAGCCCTAGAACCTGCACAGAGAGGGATGAGAGCCCACTCCCCTACTCCTTGACACCTCTGAGGTTTCACCCCAGGCTGGAAGAGCTCTGAATCTGGTCCTCCAACTGGGATGAAAGGCTGGCGTCGCTCGTGCCTGTCCTGAGGGGAAAAGTGCGAATGTTTGGAACTCGACGGAACATCAGAACACGACTTTGGAAAGCTTTGTCACGGTAACCGTGACAAATCATGAGCACATCACCATCACCCTCCCCCTCGCTCTCCCCCTCCTCCTCCTCCTGCTCACTGGTCAGTGGTCCACACCTGAGGGCACCAGATTATTGAGTGAAAGTGCGACGTTTCGAGCATTAGGATGGAAGAAAGATGCGCTTCAAGCTACTGCTGCAGCATTGTTGCGAAGACCTTGGAATCGCGCAGTTTATGTACCTGGCATAGCACCGTTTTCCCGGTTTGGAACGAAGCTGTCGAGCACCACGTAGAGCACCGAAGGCTGTTAGGGCCAGCAGCGACGTGCGACGAAGGCGAGCGATGAGAAGCCGATCCCACGCAAGAAGAAGTCTCCAGGAACCTTTGGCCACAGTTGAAGATCCTGCTCCCGATATGCCAACAAGTGTGTTCTTATCCGGCCGCAACTGACACGCCGCTGAGCGTTACCCAGGTCCCGCAGATATGGGCTCAACCCAGCTTGTTGAGTTTGGCACCGGGAAGTCACTTGTGCCATGTGTTGCCGTCCCGGCTCTATCCACCAGTGCATTCACCAAGGACTCCCCGGTTCTCGCGAGTCGAAATCATCAAGCCTTCCCATGTTCGGAATCGGCACCGGCATCATGTGGCAGGACGATCGAGTTGGGTCGCCGTAGGGCTTCCCCCCCGAATGGATTTTTACGATAGCCTTAGCCGAAGACTGGATTCCACGCAACGGAGAGCAGCTTGTTTCGATTCTTTTGTAATTTCACGTTGCGCGATTGCAGCCGGACCACTATGTGTTCGCGCTTTCCGAACCAAAGCCCTGTGCTCGTGGCTGACATTGTCACTTAAGACGAGCCGGGGTGGCCGCTCGCGGACACGGCCTGGACGAGGACGAACGTTGCTAGGCTTCCCCGTTCTCCCGCTCCCCCCTCACGCCATGGTATCCCCTTCACTTCCCCGGCACGTTTTTCATCGCCGCATGCCGAACTGTCAGTGGTCGTGGTTGTTGTGTACCGCGGTGTGGCGGGTTTATTGCTATAAAAAGGTCCGCGAGCTTCCAGGATGGCCTGAAACGAAAAGTGACGCAGACGACCACCATCCCAGTGACTGTGTGCGCGTAGCATGGGCGTGGGGCGCGTGGACTTGATGTCGAGGACCTTCTCCGCCGTTTGGTTGCCCGTGCCATGCCCAGCAGTACAGCCAGCACATGGACGAAACCACCGACCCCCACCAATTTGCTTTGTCCACGCGTGCAGGGGCTGATCGCTCAGTGCCTCCGACTTGAAACCGACACACGCCAGCGGCACTGTCTTTTCTCTGTTGATGGCACTGGCGCATTCGACTTTGTGAGTTGCCAGGCCATGCGATAGAGCCTCCCTCCGCCATGCTTCCTTTCGTCCACATGTTCTACGGAGCTCCGTCCTCCCTTGCGTGGACTGATGACGACGGCGTCACCCACCTGCTGCCTCAGGCCGAGGACAGCGAGCAGGGCGATCCACTGATGTTTGCATCGTTCGCCTTCGGAATCGCGCTCGCCTTCGGAATCCCGCTCGCCTGCCCCATTGCGTGTCCTTGGCAGCCCTCTGAAAACGGACGAGCACGGTCGCTGCACAGCTCCAACACCTTTCCGCGCAGCACCCTGCTCCTCTGCGTCTCGTGGCTAGTGCTGTTGAGTCTCCTCGCGTGCACTACTACACTCACTGCCACCGCACATGACAACAACCTTCTCTGCAGCGCCCAGCAGCTCCACTTTGTTTCCGGCGACGCCGAGGGCTTAGATTTCGCAGCACAGCTGAGCAAGCGGCTGCGACCTACTTCCAATCCGGGGCTGACTCGCTTGGGGCACAGAGTTTCCGTGAGCCTGAGTTGACTCCACTTCCCTTGCCCTGCTGGAGTCTCAGTATGGGCCGTTTGCTTTGATGGTTCTCACTCCTTTATCCTCTTCCCACGAGCTGACCTTGGATTGACTTGTTTTTCGAGCCTTGCTCTTGCCGCTCGACGCTGCAGCCTGTCACTGCAGCCGGCCCATTGACCCTCTCGGTGACCACCGCGCTGCCTGCGCCCCCGTTTTGCTGGAATTCCGCTCGAGGCTGCTGCCCGTGTTTGCCGCGAAGCCGTTCGCTTCCGTTGCCTGCAATGTTCTCGTGTGCGACTTCAACATCCGCCCCGAGCGCCTCGATGATCGCCATATCGACATCATCGAGCAGAATTTGCAGTCGACACAACCAACGTGTCCCCTGTCGATGCCCGTGGAGCTTTGTTTTACATTGTGGCCGTCAAGGAGCTAGTCCTCGTCACCGCTGTGATGAGTTCACGGGCATATGCATGTCTATTTGGCCATGGCCTTCATGCTGCTCGAGTGGCGAGGCTGACCTTGAAGGCACCTGGACCTGGCGTTATGGCAGTTGCCATTGCTGCTTACCCTGGTTGGACTGTGGTTGTGCCGGTGATGGAGTGTTCACACTTCCATCTGGCATGAGGAGTATCCGGCTCTGGTTCGTACCCGGCCGCTGCTTGGACAAGGCTAGACATATTGACAAAGAAGCAAACCGCTCAAAAGACGCTAGAGATTTTGAATTCCAGGAGCAAACCGCTCGAACGAGACCGAAGACTTTGAGAACAAAAAACAAACCGCTCGGAAGGAACTAGGGAAGTCCAGAGGAAGCAGCAAATCGCTTGAAACAGATTACAGAATTTCGAACCAGACGTGAGAATTTGATAACAGAAACAAGGGGCGAAGTGCTCGAAAGGAACTAGAGAACGTCACCGCTCGGAAAGGACTAAAAAAATTTGAGAGAGACGAGACAGATTGAAAACAAGGAGCACGCCGCTCGAAAGGATGGTGGATCATAATTGCAGATGCTTTTACTTCCGCACATTGCGCTGTAAACGTGTTGGGTTTGCTGGTTTTTGTCATCTTTGTTTACGAATACTGCAGGAGCTCTCGGAGAGGAATGCCTAGAAACGACCGTGGGTCACGGTCAGAGCGGTGAAACAAGCTGTACGAAATTACAATGTTTGGTGTTACACATCGTGCAACTATGTACAAAATCCAAACGCATCACAACGTGTCACATCCTCTGCGGCTTGGCAAGTTGTAGCCACAAACTGCACATTGTGCACAATCTGTGTTGCTGTGTTGACTCCGGCACGAGTGTTGAAAAAACCTCGCAAACACAGGACTGGGTGCATGCCAACTTGAGATCGCCGTCTTCGCCTGGATACAACGTGAGCACTATGTTAGAGCAATGCATGGCTCAACGTGTCTGGGCCACATGCGCAAAACCAGCATGGTACGGATCCCATGTTGGAATGATGTGCGAACTAACAGGGTCGCCGCTTCGTTCTGCGGAAGAAGGTGCCTGAAATGGAAAAAAAGACGTGCTGTGCGACCATTGCTGAAAATGATGCTCACAGCGAGCTAATCTCCAAAACCGCGAGGATACACGGGGGAAAGGTGCCGGCTGTAAGCTACATGGTGTAAGTGCGGCCACGGCTGCAATTCAGCATGCCCGGCCTTGATGGAAGAGGACTGCACAGGAAGTGCCAAGCTAGACGAAGTCCGCTTGGGAACCTTTGTAAAGTGCTAGAGTCATTTTCGGATGGTTCACCACGGGCAGTTCTTTGTGTCCAGGGGGTTTGGTTTTCCTCGGTGCATATGTTCTCCGGAGGTTATTCGTGGTTTAGTTTCGAACACAGCCGGTTGGCTTAGTTTCAAGCGGAAACCCTATTCGGCCAATTGTTTAGTGAACATAATGTCAGACTCTGTGAGGGTATCCGTTTCCCCGGAAGACGAGGCGGGAGTGCCCCATGGTTTTTCTTGATGAGCGATGACAACAGTGCCAGCAACATTGATCAAACCACAATCATTGCAACGACGAGCGTGAGGGCAACCAGCGTAATCCGAATCCATGAAATTCTGCCAACTGGTCCACTTCTTGGGGGCCCCTGCATGTGACACGCTGATGTCTCTCGTTTCGAAACCCTTGCATGCAACTCAGCGTGTTGTTTTTCGATCGACTGTGTGCTGCTCTGTGCGCACTGTGTGCGCTCACCTGCGACTCTCGATGGCTTTGCGTGCCCGAGGTCGAGCAATGTAAGTGCGTTTTCGCGATGTTTCGGGCGCCTCCATGCCATGTCGGACAGCTTTCGGTGCTGCGCACCAGGCGCGTCCCCCCTCTCTCCCCAGCCGTCTACCTCCGTGTGGCTGAGTGGTCCTGGTGGACTTCGTGGATTTTTCGGCTGGACTCCACGCCGTAGTTTGTGGACTGGGAAGCGTGCAGGACGCCTTCGACAAAAAGGAGCGTGAGAAAACTAAAAAAAATATCGGCGGTGTTTCGTGGGTCAAGCAAGGTTGGCCCAGAGAGCCTTCACCGTGCAGTGGTGCGACTCCAAGATACTACACCCCGAGCTTCGGGCCACTTGCGCTTCCTTGGGGGTGGTTGGGTGGTTGTTGTTGCGGCCAGAGCCGCCTGCCGCTGCGGCCCTGGTGCGGGACTGGTGCGTACACCGTGGTCGATGAGGTAGCTTAGTCAGCTGCTACCGCGACTGGAACACTTTTCGATGGGCAGTTCGGCTTGCTGTTTCGCCGAGCAACCACGCCCTCGCCCGCCCTCGCACTGGGTTGCCGGCCGCGATGGGCAAGTCATTCCTCAACAATGGCTGGTACACACAACTGCGCCCGGAGTGCCGGCCGACGATCGCTGACGGCTCGACATGGTTGTTTGCGGCGCCACCGCGGGCGAGCGCATTGTGCTGCGACGCCACCCTCGTCTTTCCATTCACGAGGATGGGGCAACCCCAGCCAGGAGCCGCCGATCCAGGTCCACGTGCCCAGAGCTGTGCCACGGTGGCCCGCAGGAGCTCGTCGTTTTGTTCGGAGGTCGCGGTTAGCGACTGGGCTCTCGTAGGAAAGGATGGAAAGGCAGTCGTGCTCGTAGGAGCTGGAGGCTAGTTCATGTAGCCGTGAGGCAGAGAAAGGCGAGGAAAAAGGTGCGTGTGGGAAAAACAAATTGAGGGTGACCATAACTATGAGGCGGGGCCCGAGGTTGGGCAAACTAGTCACCGTGTTGGCGCTAGATTAGCGGTAGTCTGGCACCAGAACAACAAGTCATATAGTCTATTGGCTTGTGTCGGAAGTTGGAATGCTTTGTAACTCTACGTTGGTATTCGTGACATCATCCTTCACAAGAAGATTTGGACATTGCAGAATGCAAAACAGTATGGGCTCGTGTACAGGCCGAGATGGAAGTGCCGACATGCTCTCGTGGGCGTGGCCGGCTATGTCCAGTGGCGGCACCGTGCACAGCGCGTGGTTGGCCCGCACCGAAGCGCACATAGCGAGATGCAGTTGGCCATAGTTGGCTCGAAAGCTCAACAGCAAGCGGCTCCCATTGCGCTCGGAGGTGGACAAGATCAGAGCTGTCTGGGTGCAGCGTTGGAGCGGTATGCTTACTGTCGCCGCTCAGCGTGCCGTCGCCGAATCCCTCCTCGACCTCGCCGCGGACTCTGAACCCGCCTGCTTTGCACGAGGTCTTAGCTGATGCACGCTGGCTCGTGGCGCCGGAGCACAGTCGCTTGCCGGCTCGGCTCGCCTGAGCCTGTCCGTTGCGTTTGCCCTCGGTCAGCCATAGTCTGCAGCTTGGTAACTGCGTGCACCGGGACCGCTTCGACTTCTGCTACAAAGGTGCGCGTTCCATCGCCCTCCGACTTTCGTCGCCAGCACTACTGTGCAAAATGCCGTCGCTTGCCACGTTTGAGTTCGGGGTAAAGCGTGCCTTTGCAGCCCCGCACCGTCGATTGTATCCGCACACGGCTCTGGGTGTCCTGTGCGGGTCAACAGCGACACCCCCCGGTTTGCCGTGGCTCCAGACACGGCCATGTCGAAGTGTCGGCGGTCATCGGATCGCACGACTGGGGCCGTTGTGTGGGCAAATGTGGGCAAGCCACTGTTGTGGTACGACCTGGACTTCCACGCCGACTGCTTCCCTAGCAACGCGAAGCCATGGGAACACGGGGCAGCATCCTCTCCCCGTCAGCACTCCCGGAGTCGCATGCGGACAACGATGCTTGTGGCCGACTGCGCCAGTTCCTGCGCTTGTTCGGTTTCCTGTGAGGGAACCCCGCCAGCCATTTTGGCTCAAACCATTTTGGCTCAAAATTTGCGGTGCTCCAAGCTCAAAAGGCTTTTTCGAAAGAAGGGGGTTGCGGGCCGCTTTCGGGGCATGGTCGTGCTGACGCCCGTGCTGGCGGCTGGCAGCAGGTTTGCGATGGCTGGTGGAAGCGGCCGGGCGCGCGGCAGCCGCGCAGCTCCCAACAAGGTGCCGCGAGGCCGCCATGCACGCTCTCCTAACTTGTGCGGTGGGCTCTCCCCGCTACTTTGCGCCCGGATGGGGGCCCTGTTCGCACTGTTGGGGCTGGTTGTGTGTTGGCCTGCTTCTCGGCATGTTTGGCACGGGGTTGCTTAGGTTACGATTGGCGACCCGCCGCAGGCCGCCGCCAGCTTGGTCAGTGGCCGCTTCCGAGACGTTGCGCTGCATGGCTGTGGGGGGCGAAACCGGGTTGCAGGCATTGGCGGAGGCAGCAGGGCAAACACCAACGGAACTGCTCTGCAGCATTCTGCGACAAGCGACGGCGACGCCTGCGCCGCAGATGCCCGCCCTGCTTTCCAGCACAAACCGTCCACAGCCAACGTCCGGCGCGGCCGCTATGGCGACGAACGCTCGCCGCCGCAGACCCGCACCGCCAGTGCCCCGCGCGATGTGATGACAACCAGGCTGAGGGGGGGCCCGCCGAGAGGACGTGCGCGAGCTTCGGCACCAGGCCCCGCCGGAGGGACCTCGGCAGCTCGCTTGTGCCAGGCAGTCGCTTGGACACCACCGCACCCACACAGAGGTAAGCGACTTGGGAACTCTCGGGAGCCATGGCACCAATGGCACCCGGCGAGGCGACGCCCTGGTTCAGCGCGCCCCGTTCACCGGACACGCCGCCGCAGCAAGAAACCAATGCCGAGCCGTTACCCTGGCAAGATGCTCGCCCACCGAGCTCAGTGCCCGGCGAGCGCAATTCGTGGCTGTTCGTTCCCCTGCTGCACGCGGCAGCAGGCAACCTGACAGAGCGCGCCAACCAAGCGTGGCGGGCTTGCCCACGGATCGGCCCTCGCTTCGGCGAGCTGGTGGCTCTGCTGCGCGTCGCGCCGCCCGTTATGCCGACAACGCTCACTCGGACTTTGCTCGCGGTGGCCGAAAGTGACGCCCATGACGGCGCCCGGCTCGTCATGCAGGAAGACGTTGAAACGGCGACAGCTCTGACAGGGATGCCCGACGCGCCGTTGCCACTTGCAGCCGCGACTCTGCTTTGCATGGCGCCCGATGGCTACTTGACAGCGGCAACGCAATCCGCGCTGCTCGAATCGTATGCAGGGGCCATGGCAGCAGCAGCCGCACGCAGCCCGGACACCCGACGCTTGCGACCACCCGGCGTCGTCGCCGCCGTGCCCGCCGTCACCCAGCACTGCGTGAAGACCCGCATGCGGGCGAGGCCGTCTGCAATGTCAGCGGGGATTTGCGCCCGTGCCAAGCGAGTAGCAGCTTCAGCAAGCAGGTCCACGCTGGTGAGGTCCTGCAACAAAAGTTTCAAATGCTCAACGCGCATGCCGGAAAGGCCTGCTGCGCCTCCCCTGCGTGTGTCGCGGAGCGCTGAAGCCACCGCCTTCGCCGTCAGTCGGACTTGCTGTGCGGGTGCGCGGCTCTGGTGGTCGACGGAGAGGGTCTGTGAGGGCCCGAAATGTAGCCTCGTCGCCACGCGCCAGCTCAGACGCCGTTAGCACTTGGCGCGCCCGAGTCAGCTCGCCCATGCGCACCTTCGCACACGCGCGGTCCCGTTTGCCCATCTCGAGCGCCTCTGCTTCCACGGCGGCGTGGGCCACGTCTTGCCGGCGGTGGGCGCGGGCGGCTTCCAG